TCTTTTAGGATTTGAAATAGCTCAACTGGAATTCCATCACCTCCACTAGCTTTGTTCATAGTGATGCTTCCTAAGGCCCACTTGACTTTGGATTCCAGGATGCCAGGCTCTAGGTAAGTGATCACACTATTGTGATTGTCTGGGTCATGAAGACCTTTTTTGGACAGTTCTTCTGTGTATTCTTGCGACCTCTTCTTAATATCGTCTCTTCCGTTAGGTTCATACCATTTCTGTCCTTTATAGAGCCCATCTTTGCATGGAATGTTCCCTTGGTATCTCTAATTTTCTTGACGAGATCTCTAGTCTTTCCCATTTTATTATTTTCCTTTTATTTCTTTGCACTGATCACTGAGGAAGGCTTTCTGATCTCTCCTTGCTATTATTTGGAACTTTGCATTCAAATGGGTATATCTTTCCTTTTCTCCTTTGCTTTTGGCTTCTTTTCAGTTATTTGTAAGGCCTCCTCAGACGGCTATTTTGCTTTTTTGCATTTCTTTCTCTGACTTCAGTAACTTCTAAAAGACTTGTGGCCACTAGATACAGAAGTTTAATTATTAACATGTTTTACATATATTCACATTAGTTTTTCATTTGACGTTGATTATTGATTATTGGGGTAACTAGGTGGCCAGAGGAAGGCTTGAGAGGAGACCTGCCATTTTCTTTTGGATATTCCAAGTTAAAAGGATCAGTGGGATATCTAGGAGGTTTCCTGTGCACCTCTGAATCCATCGTGGGTTACTAGGGTCAGATCAGATGTTAAATCCAATGCAGGCAGTAGAGGTTTGGGGAATTTCAAATGGCTGTTTGAAGCTACAGGCAAAGGTGAGATGGTCAAGAAAGAGTAGGAAGGGTGATGAAATACTTCCATTGGTGTCATTATTTGTGTAATAAACAAAATATGAGTAAAATATCAACTCTGTTTAAGAATATTAGGTTTTAACAAACAAACTTGTATATGTAGCAGAGTTGAAAGAAAATAAGACAGTGACTTCGGTGTCTCCATTTAAATTTCATAAATATGACTTTCAGTTTACATCTCAAATATAATTTTATTTTTTGTAAGTAGAATCTTACTTAAAAATAAGTGGCAAATAATTGTGTCTATGTTAATTTCATTACTAATTCCCCCCCCCTTTTTTATGTTGCATTTTCATGATGTAGATTTTCAATAAATATATTACAAAGAAAGAAGCAAAAATGAGGAGATCTGGGTTCAGGCCGTGACTCTTCACATTTCTAGTAAACTTCATTCAGTTTCCTCGTGTTATGTGGCTC